CTCAATGTTGGGGATCGCTTCAGGGGTCAACCACCGAGCCAAACGCGCTGCTCAACAAATCTCGGATTGCTGAACCTCAAACTCCCAGCTTTCTTACTTTAAATCGCCCAGGGTATGCACACCACCAGCACATCTTTCATGACCCTGGATAGCTTCCCATCATTATTATGGTCATTTCGGTCCACTCCCTCATCTTGGAACTGTCGGTCAACCTCGAGCTGCTGTGTCAGCTGTGAGTACATGACATTAGGAGGCTTCAGCATTCCCTGTGATCTGTTTTCTGTTTGAGGAGGGACCATGTAGACTGTATACTGGGTCTGCCTAGTCTTCTCCAACTATTACACTCGTCATTGGTGTTATCGAGACGCTCGGCACACAACTTTTGAGAACCTCCAGTACCCCGAGCTCGAGGCTCCAAACCTTGTGCAAGGGTGATCCCTGGAGAATGCTAAATTTGAAATCCCAATACCCCAGAAATCAGAAATCTCGAAACATTTGCCGAAGCTCAGGTCTGCTGAGGAGCTTGGAGTTGTCCACCGAGTGCTCCTGCAAGTTTTCGGATGCTAGTAAGATGTGGGGGCATCCAGGACTTAGTTCTGGAGTCCGCTGTTCGCCTTGCTATGAAGTGGTCTCAAGACAGGCATCCCTCGTCCTCCGAGTAGGGGGGCCTCCTTGGCAATGATCTATGGCTTTTGAGTATTTTTGTTCATGTCAAGTGACGAGCCGTGGTGTTCTTTGTGGCTACATACCCAGGATAACCTCCTGAACAGTCACCTTAAACCCTAGGACCCTTGACTCCCATTCTTAAGCCCTAAGCCCCAAAACCCTGACTTCTTTTGAACTCCTACTGTATTAGCGCCTCATCATCAGGTACATGCCGAGGATGACACCCTGACAGCAGCGAGCTCAATCTGCGGAATTTGCTGGGTGAACTGCAGGACGTGTACAGCGCATGTAGAGGAAGCTCAGTCGACTGAACCACAGACAGACTGCGGAGTTCATGCGAATCGAAGACGAGTCAGAGGAAGCTCTTTGAGTGTCGAGTGTTGTTCCTATAAACGCCGCGTTGGAACACCAAGACCCTTCAAAACTGAAACAATGTGATAAGGTGCAGTTCCCAAGCGATCAGCACCGGCTACGTGTGCCTTCCAGCATGGCAATGTTGGCAGGGCAGCTCAGTCAGAAAACGCCCCCAGGATTTTGGCACTCATTATGCTTGAGGGCTTTCTGGATCTAAGGTTCTGCATGAAGTTGTTCGTAATTCTGTCAATTGAACTTTCAGAGTTTCGAGTTCAGAGCTGAGAGCTTGGATTGAGAAGTTGAGACTGTAGGGTTCACACCTCAGGGACTGGACGTGTATCTATGGTTTCGCTGGCTGCGCATTTGTGCAGCTTGTTCCAAAGCCGCAAATCCGATATCCAGCAAACTCCTGACCTTGCCTGCGAACCCTAATTCCCAGCCCCTTGCCCTAGACAATATACATCACATGAGCTCGAACCCTAATCCGCTTGTTCTCTCCCCCGGGTTGCTTTCAGCTCTGAGGTGCAGACAGCGACGCCGACCTACCCAAAAATCCGCCTTCAGCCAGGCTTTCTTGCGGCACGGGATTTAAGTCTTGAGTCGGAGGATGGGATAGGGTGGGCTTTGAGGCTTGAATCTTGAAGGTCTAAAAAATTCAAGGGTCAGGGTACGGGGTGCAAGCTGTCTCATTTGGGTCATAGGAACCATAGTCTAAACTCCTTACAGGGAGTTTTTTAAGGGATTATCAAGGGAGTATTACAGGGGACAATAAGGGGGATACTAGGAGTTTAGACTATAGCTCATATGGGTGGTTTGTAATCATCTTGGATCTGAATGTTCAGGGTCACTCAAGAAGAGCGAGATCTGCGCTGCAGTGCATCCTCGTAGCATGGAAACCCTAATCCAGTCTGAATGCGTTGCTGATATCAGTTGGCTCCGGCCCAGCAAGGCAAAGCAGCCAGATGGCCAAGGCTTCTGCAGCTCAAACTATATGTAGACCGATTGAAACTATACCGGGCTATGTCATGCCGAATTCCTCTTATTCCAGTAGCAGTCCATATGACGATTGGCAAGCGTGCTTGCTATGCTTGCCTTGGCTTTGCCTCGTGACCCTAAATTAGTGGCTCAACTTTGGTAGGGTTGACCTGGGTTCGAGGCAGCGAGTGAGTTTCGCAAGCTGTCGAATCCACTCACTGGCACCAGGCGAGAGGCTGCCAAACCGAGCTCAAGTCGACCGGCCGCTGACTCGGGTAGTCATCCTTACTTTGAGCGAGCATGGTGGTAGACTAAGTATGGTGCAGCTGTGCTGTGTATTTGGGCTAGGGTAGCTGTCGATTCAGGTAGCTTGACTGTTCAGGTGCTGACAATACATCAGAGGTTGCTAGAGCCCAGGTGAGGTGGAGAATTATTTGCCAGCCAATTCTCTCTTGCATTGTAGGTTCACACTGTAGAGCTTTAGGTTAGTGTCCATGGGCCTCTTCTGATTGCTACAAGTCAGTACCCCAAAGAGCCTTCTTTCTTCCTCAGATAGTAAGGAGTTCGAAAGAGGAAGGTAGCACAAGTCTGTGCAAAGGTGTTTAACGCGCTCGTCTACATTGCCTGCAGTTTTCGAGGGTCATTCTTTCATCAGTCCAGCGCCCAACATGTCGGTTTCAACTTCTGCTTGATAGCTGTTAGGTCCTGAATAACCCAAAGTCCAGTTCAGGATTTAGGGTTTGGACTAGCTGTTGCTCTTGGGATTGTCCTTGGAGCTTGTGAACTTCTGAACTATCCTTCTTACATGCATCCTCCAATGCCGCATGGGTAAAACCAAAAACTCTGAGCCTGCAATCGCCCAGAGTCCGATACCTTGTCCGATTATGTGCTGTAGCAATGAGTCTGTCAGGAATACTGTAAGCAGCAAGAGCCACAGGATCATTGGCAATGGTCACCCTTGCTGACTAGACGGCTCAGTCCCAGTAGTCCTCCTCAGCAGCAGGTCACACTGAGAGTTAGCGGAAAAGGTGTTATCTCAACTCCCAGGTGTCATATTTAAACTCAAGGCCCAAATGCCTCAACTTAGGCGAGAGGCCGAGCTGGAGGCGTAACCGAGCATGTCGCTATTGGAGTACGGGATTGGTAGAGTTTCTCACGTCTCCTGCCAGCCGTTCGCGCACCTCTGACAAGGCAGGAGACAGAGGATAGGGATGGTCTGGAGGCACTTCATACATTCTCGCTGGTTGCGGTGGTCATTCTAAGAGAGGTGGTGAGGGCGTTGGGTTTACTCTAAATCCTGAAAACAATCCTGCTTGCAGGTCACACTGTGGATGCTGCGGCAGTAGGTTAGGTTGAGAGTTTGTCCATGGGAATAGGACTGCCCCAAACGATCACCCCGAAGGTGGAAGCAGCGAAATGCTCACGGCAAAATACAATGCCAATTTCATGACAACCACTAAAAAGCCACAGTATATTCAGCAACTACGGTCTTCGAACTACTGTATTCCTCCCCTCATATTGCCTTGGGCGTGGATGCTTAACGTTGATCACTTTCCCTTGTTCAGCCAGACTTCATACTCCTATCGTGCCATATGTATATTATATAGAATATGTTTCTGTAGCTACAAACACATACCAAGAAAGATCAGCATATGAAGTAGAAACTCTTCCGAAACTCTTCCGAAGGTAGGTTATCCACAATTTTGCGAAGTCCCGAACGGGATCCAATGCGGTCTCTCCTGCCGCGTCTTGCATTTGGCCCTGGCAGGCGGAGAGGAGGCGCGCGTAGCTGGGGCCGGATATCATCCCATTGTGTAGGGGCCTAGCATTCAACAGGGTGTTGAGTTGCATCAAATCTGTAGCTATGCAAGGAAACGCGAACTTTCAGCTGTACGGGCTTCGGGTTAAGGGAGCTGATAACTGGACAGCATAAATTGTTTCCACAATTTCTATGAGCGTCGAAGAGGCAGGGGCTGCGCTTCAAACATTTCGTCGTGATCCAGAGTGTTCACCGCATATTCTGCTGTACATGATCGCATATTGAAGGCACATTAGGCTGCAAAAAGCATGCTTCGACAGAACTTGACGGATCGCGCAGTCTGCCGCGACAGTTGCGCATAATGAGCCAGCTGCGCCAAAATGATGTGATTACTTTTCCCTGCAGTTCGAGCTTGCAAATGCTGATACAATGGCTTCTGTGGTTCTTGCGGCATGTAAAACAGGCTCATGGATATCAATCTGCTTCGGCCCATGGAAGCAGTGGGTTGGATGACAGGAGAGCTGAGCATAGGTGTGTGACATGACTTGTCTGACTGTGTCCCAGAAGCCATACCATGAATCTCAGAGACCTCGCCGCTTTCTTGAACTTCCCATCTCCACTCCGCCATGGAGTTGGCTGGGCAATGTGCTGATGGACAAGTCGCGCGCACCCCGAGCCTGCAGTCTCCAGTAGATGAAGGTGGCTTTGCCTTTAGCGCTGAAGTGCCTACGTTGGGGTTCATGATTGAATAAAGGCGAGGTCAGGGGAACTTTAAACTGGATTCCAATATCGTAGTCAATTTTGTCCCTACTTACAATTTCTATGACCTTCAGTGATTAGGCCTTGCCCTCGACGGCAGTTCAGGAGCCGGGTTAAGTAAAGGATCTCTGCGTAGCGACAGGCAGGCCTTTTCTTTATGAACTTCAGAATTTTTGTTGCAAAAATCTCTACCTTGCGCAGCTTGGGAAGTTACGGCCCTGAAGCCCTGGAAATGCTCCATTACCAGGGAAGCAAACGAGTTATGCGGTCCCTTATGCTTACATGTTTTACTGCACACTCTTGCTTTATGCTATACCTGCCTGTAGAAAGCCTGGAACGGCAGCTTGCAAAACAAGTCCCAGCCGTTAAATGCTGGATCATTGGACTCTGTATCCCGGAGCCTTTCTCCACGGAAGAGCTGCATAAACGCAAACCTCTCATCGGAGAAAACCTTCAGAAAGCCCGAAGCCCTGAGCTGATGGACGAGGCGATTCGAATGAAAGTATGGAGAATTTCATCGCTGAGTTCATCTCGAGAGACTTGCAGCATGTAGTTTTTTGATAGGTTGGCTGCTATATTTGAGGTTCAAGGTCTTTAGTTGACGGGCACTTTTGCCTGCAGCATCGAGCCTTCTGCTTTTGAGTCCTTTTTTTGAAGCAGTGCCTGCTTCCCACTATGAAGGGATCGCGTCCCATTATGCAAAACTCCTAACTCACAGCTTGCCACACGGATGCCAGAGCATCCACCGCCGGAAATGGCTGGCTAAGGAATGGAGCCAACAAAGCCAGATATCATTCAAGCTGTTCGTGCTCACCAGGCCCTCAGGTACTTCGGGCGGGTCTTTCGCACACAAGGCCAGCAGAACGACGCGTTTCAGCGTGTCAGTTTCCCGACGGAGAAGATCGACGAGTTTTGGAGCCACAGCTGGCACGGCCACAAGTTGAGCAAGATTCTTACGGCCTTCTTCTTGTACAACTTCAAGGCTGCAGCCACGGTGTCAACACTGGGCTCCTTATTGATGCTGGTGCTTTTTTCCAGCGGCATTCTGCCCGATCTTCGCCTTAAGGATCCGCAATATCCTTTGGACTCATGGTGGTGCACCGCCGTGGGATTCTTCTTGTATTTTTTGGTTGCCATCCGTTGGAAACCATGGAAGCGAATTTTTCTGGATGTTCTGTGCATTGATCAGCGGAACGAGGCCGAGAAAGCAGCAGCCATTGTCAGCATAGGAGCCTTCTTGAAATGTTCAGATGCACTTCTTGTCCTGTGGGATCCCTCATACAATCATCGCCTGTCACTTGGCGTTAATGTCAAGGAACCTGAGTAGCCTCTTCATCGAGCCTTTGCCTTTTGTCCTTCCCTTGTAACGCCGCCATAAAGTACAGGATATGTTCATGTAGCTGCTGAGGTGGTGTGTCTTTGAAATGGCAGCCTTTCTGCATAGCCGTCCAGCAAATCAGAAGGCAAAGCTCATCATCAGGCCCACATTCTTGGGCCCTTGCATAATCTCCATGCCTGTGGCTTTGTCGTGCATAGTGATCGCGATGGTTGTGTTGCCATCCGCGGCGCTGGAGGAAGTTGATGACACGCAGGCCATTTTGTGGCCAGTGCTGGGCACATTGGTTTTTGTTGGCTTCTACCTCAGTGTGGCGACCATTCGTGCTTATTTTCGATCTGTTGAGACGCTCCAGAAGGAATTGAGCCAGTTCGTGGCTTAACAAATATGTGAACCAAATACGTGAACTTTTCTGAGTTCTTGTACTTACTAAACAAGTATAGCCGATTTCATGTTTGCCTTTTGGTATAGTGGGGATCTGAGGTGGTCAGCGACACGCTTTGTTGGTGTTGCAGTCAGGACCATCGATCGGATTCAGGTGAATCCGTGCCTTGTGATCGTCGGGTCGTGCTGCAGTGCATCACATTATGGTGTCTTGGCCGCCTCGTCCCCCACAACGGATCCAGGATTTCAGAAAACACTTACATCCTGAAAGCAACCTATATTTCGCTAGGATCGTAAACAGCAAGTATCTACACCGCTAGCGGTCGCGAAAGCGTAAGACTTGAATTGCAAATGCAACTGCCAAGCCGAGATGTGTGAAACCACCTTCCTTTACAGGATGCTGCCCCGAATTTCTACATGTTTCCACGGCAGTTCGACTTTCGGAGAGGAGCCGTACCTCAACCAAATCCTGCCAAATTTGGCAAGGAATGGAATCCCTTGAAAGCAACAAACTTCAAGGGTCTTGTCTCCGAAATTGCTGGATGAGAGTACGGAAGCCATGGACCTCAATTTCCATCTTGTCGACGCCTCCAAGTGCTGCATTCTGATTGCTTTACCCTGCAAACATTGCTGTTTGTCGTCTGCTTCATGCCTTATGCATCACAGCGTGAATGTTTCAGGGTTGGGACTTTCGTGCGCCCGTCCAGCACTTTCAGGATTGAGTTTCCAGCTTTGTGACGCAAGATATGATCTATGGATTGTCAAGGTTCGGTAGCGTCGCGAACTTTGAGAAGAAGGTGCGAACAGAGGTGGGCAGCGCAAGCACAAAGACGTCTGGAATGGTTGTGAGATGTGCTGCATCATGATGATCGTGACGACGATGTTGGCGATGAACATGAAGATGATGAGAAAAATGATGGTGATGGTGATGGAAATGATGTGTGGTGGGGCGCCGTGCAGACTTTATAGACATAGACATTGCAGATCCATTCGAATGCCTCGCATCGTTCGCCTTAGCCCAGTCAAGCTCCGGGCGTTATACTCCAGGGCCATCAAGTGAGTTTGGGGAAGGGAAGCCTGGGGCATACCGAAGACATGATCTCCTCGCGCCAATCCCCGGTGCATTCGTGCTGTCATGATCTCAGAATGCTGATTGTGCAAGAATGGATCTGAAAACGATGCTTGGTTTCAGGGCTCGAAAGCTTGGAAGTGTTGAATGCCAGTGGCATCAACGTCCAAACTCCAGACCCTGTTCAGGTGCAGGAAAGTCTTGCCGAGCAGCTTTCCAAGGAGACACCTGGCTTTCTGTTGAACATGCTCCGAGTCTTAAGCTTTTTTTAGTTCAGAGCAGATTCTTTTGCACTTGTGGAAGCCAACGACGCATAAGGATTTTCACTTACTCCCAAGTGGCTGCGTCGGCAGTCGCTGAGCGGGGTTAGAACAAGCATTGTGCCTTCTGCTTACTAGTTTGACATGGGCTTTCTATTTGTTTCCTTTGGCCAAGAGAGCACATGGGAGACTAATGCAGGTTCCATTGCTTTGGCATTTTATGGATTCGGCATCGACAAAGCTTTACCGCGACGGGACTGTGATTTGGAGAGGCGCTGCTCGTGAGTTGGTCCGTGGCCTGGGATGGGGGTTTGGCGTTTTGCCAGTGGCTTTCTTTGTCACAGCACAGCTCACATATCTCCTACGACGTAGACGTGCTTGGAAGCTTTGCGAGGTGGTGACCAACTGCCTTATTCTCGCAGTCTGTATCCTGATCTTTGTAGCAGCATTGAATGTTGAGCAATACTGTTGGGTATTGGAGAAGAATTTGTTCCCGAATGACAAGGCTGACGTGGTGAGATTTCAGTGGGACTTTCTGCCCGGCACGAGCTTGTTTAGTGTGATGTTCTTCGTTCTGGCAGCCACGCTGTCAATTGTCCGGAGAAATTTTAGTTATGTTAAACCTGTTTCAGTTCAACCCGAACCGGAAGAGCTGGCAGAGGCGAACCAAGAAACTCAAGCTGCCAGGCCAGGGTTGCCCCCACAACTTGTGTCGTTGTAGCAGCGTTCAGAAAGAGTATAGCTTCCGAAGATCTCTTCCATTTCCGAAACTGAGGAGGGCATTCAACAACTACTCGTAACCCTTCCGCCATCCACCAGGATGCGCATCATTCTCCTAGGCTTGTAACTGCTGGGCTTCTGCAAGCCCAGCAGCCCTGAACTCCCCAAGGGAGCATGGAAACCCAATCTCAGAAAGAGTGGGATGTACAGAGTTTTGTCCCGAGATTTTTTAGGCTGGACTGCTGTAAGTTGAGAGGCTTGATCTCCTAAGGGAGTGCCATCTCACGAAGTCCTTTGTCTGTCCAGCTTCATATGAGATTTCGCGTAGACCAGCACGCAAATAGCAATTGTTCTTGGTGCAACTTAGCCTTGCGCATCATTGATTCATGCCCTTGAGGTATTGACGCCTTCGCTACTCTAGCTGTCTACTTGTTGGTCTTTGCCTCCCGTCTTTTCAACAACGCTTCTGTCCTTCTCTCTTGACTTTGTCCTCCCGAAAGTGTCTCGGCTCGATGGCCAGCTGAGTTTGCAACAAGATTGTCTCGCTTGTCTCCGATCTTGTTGCTCATCTTGCTACCTCCAAGCAAGTTATGTTGCGGTTGAGGGTGTAGGGGGTGTTCAGGTTTGTTTTCCCATGCATGCCAATTGTTGAGCCAAAGTCGGTCAGAGGAAACTTCTTGAGTGTAAGATGCACCTACATGGTTACGTTGACAACGTATTGGCCCAATTGCCAGAGAGAGAACTCTTGCGCACCTCAAGCCAACACCTGTAGTTGTCGACATCCGCAAACATCTCGCAGTCTTGGTGCAGAACCTTCCGCTCAGGTAGTTTTTACACACTCCCTTCTGGCAAGCTATGCGTTTAGGCTTGCCCTCGCTCTTAGATCTTTGAAGCAGGCGTTGATCCCCGTTCTAGACCCTATATGGGATCTTGTCCCGGCATATTGCCCGTAGGGAGCCCATTAAGCCACGATACGATGATACCTCCTGAGGCTTTCTACAAAACTTCAACCCTGAGCCTTGCCACCAACATCTCCAATTCTCTTTAAGTCCCACTCCCTTAACCCAAAGCAGCTGGACACCCAAACCTGCCCAAAGCGCAAAGTCTTCCCCTACGCAGGAAGCTCGGCCTACCGCAGGGTGCAATGTTGCCCTGGCAAGAGGCCACGCGGTCACACAGTTAAGGTCTAATCCGGCGTTATGGGTTCTGCAGGGGCTGTGCCGGGAATATCTCCGAATTCTTGACGAACGGTATGCAACTATGGAGGTTCTGATTTTTCCGAGCACCTTCATATCGAGGGCTGTGATCATTTTTGGGGCACATTAGGTGATCCCAGGCTTGAGATAGGCTAGCTGCGGATTCAAAGCAATCAGATGGAGGCCTAGAGGTTTTGGGTGTCCACAGAAACTCCAAAACATCAGTACCAAGAAGGCATTGAACACCCTGCCGTAGACTGTTGTAAGCTTTCGACATGTGGCTTGCTTGTCAGGGTTTTGGGGCTGATGATACAGGTTGAAACCGGGCATTCACGCGCTGAAGGTTTGGAGTTGGGGTGGTCGACCGAATCACATTCGCAGCGTCACCCAGACGTCTTGATCCTATAGTTGTGCGCGCCTGTACCTTCATATCCACTAGTCGCCTGCTTTGCTCACGATGTGACATTAGCAAACTTCTGCTGACGCATGTGTATCCTCATCTGAGAGATCCTGCGGTAAGTCCGGGGCCTGCGGATGAATGCTGGATCTTGCCTCCAAAGATGTTCAGGTCCTTGCTCAAACTCAGGGCCCGTCTTACGGCCCAAACACCCCACCTGGGTCACACAAGCAATGCTTGGTGCAGTTGAGGTCCGAGAACTATGGAAACATCGTTATTGTTGACCCTTGGGCAACTTCGAGGTTGTTTGCTGCTGTAGTGGTTTGCTTCAGCCTTAGTTACTTTGGTCCTAGCCAGGGGGGGGCGCTGGTGTAGTACCTCTGGTTCGAAAACTTACATCAGATGCTGGACACGCGCAGACCTACAACCAAACCAAGCGTAATCCCTCAAGCCCACCATCACATTATTGACAGTCGCTCGCTACTTGCACGTTAATTGGGTACAGTCATTAGGGTCCAGGGTTTGGGTTTCAAGGTTAATGTCATGGTCAAGTGCATTCTCATCCAGTACTCGTTGAAGTCGCGCCCCCTTACCTGGAAAGAGTTGTTGTCTTCAAAAGGTTCAGCACGGAGAAAGGCAACAATCCATGTTGAGGTAAAGCCCTATGACTGCTGACTACTGACTGCTGCTTCGATTGATTTTGACAGGCAGAGCAGTTGAACAGTGGCGAGCACAAAGGCTCCAGTAGGGTCAAGAGGGAGGGGTTGGTGTGAAGGGGTTGCAAAATTGGGGTTCCTCTGGGATCCCTTCTAAAGACCTGAGGGTCTGAGGGTTACAGTTCGTCTGAAACCTAGAAGCGGACAACTCCAGTTCTCAATGCCTTGGAGCCTTCACGCTGGTTTAGGAAGGCTCTGTGAAAGTGAAGGGCCCTCCTCTCAGAGCGAGGATCCCCAAAACAACATCCTCTTAGCCATCTTCGCATGAAGCACAAAGGTCCATTTGGGAAAGGAAGGTGTCACGTTAGAGAGACGTGTGGATCGGGCATAGGGGGTCTTATGACAAGGACCGGTGCCAAGGCTCCTTTGACACCGGGTCCCATGAGTCGATGACTGTTGGACCATATTGACAGTACAGGTGCCCTCTTCAACGGGATTGCCAAAGACGCTTCGGGCTTTCAGCTTTTCGGGTTTGTCTTCAGCCTGGCACGGTCACCAAGGCTCAGATTAAGGGTTTCGACTAACAGGCAGTCACATCAACAGCCCAGAGGCGACATGAAGGTTGGCCCCACTTGCATTTCCCCACTGTCTGCTTCAACTCGAAAAACACAGTTTCATGGCTCCGCAAACCCCAACCCAAGCCTGAATCCCAAACCACTGCTTGCCGCAGATGCTGACGGAGTGGTGCGGATAGATGCCGCGCACTGGGGGATACCAGCGAACGCCTCAGAGCACTAGCCCGCGCATAGGTGATGAATCGGATTTGTTCAGGGTGCAGGGTTGCGATTGTTGTGAGTTTAGGGGTTTTGGGTGGTGGCATCTATTCGCGGCACCGGATTGTTCCGATTCAGGTTTGGGGCAGATAAAGGGTTCCGCGGCTTCCCATTGTGGCTGATGAACATGTTCGCAGTTGCCTTTCTCACGGTGAAACATATCATTGTGTGGATGGAAAAATCCTGGCATCATTCGCATACCCGCGCGAGAAAGGCTCAGTTGGTTGGAACGCCTTCCCTGCACGTTAACTCAACCTATGGAATGTTCAGGTGAGTAGTTTCTACCTATATGACCTGTAAGCTTACACAGATCTCATGTGCCCTCTTTTCTCCTAATGGAAGCCTTGCGTAAGTGAGGGTGCCCACCTGGTGACTCCCGCCTGAGATTTCTTCAGCTTTCAGATCAAAATAGAACCCTCGACACCGCTGCGCTTAGTGGGTGCAAAACAGAAGCCTTGAACGGGTTGCCTATGCAGGGTAGGGTTTCATTCCGGTGGCCTTTGTCTCGCGCATCGTGCTTCCGAGGTGTGGGTAGTTAGATATTGGGCTTCCGGACGACATCACAATACTAAACCCTACCCAAGCCCTAAAAGTCAAGATTTAGCAGTCGTCTTTCCGCATATCTTGCTCACCCTTCCAGCGTGTTGTTCTGACATGCTATTTGTCTATTGCATCATTATTGTACTTTTTTTCGGTGCATGTGACTGGGCCTTTGACCCGGTATCCTAGCCAAGCCTCACACACTGAGCGGCCCTTACGTGCTATATTCCACAGTCCCGCACCCCGTATCCCATCGGTCGAGAACCATAATCCAGAAATCCGAAAGCCTAGTCCGGAAGCCCAAGCCCCACAATGTTTCGGGTGTGGCTTCACGCACCTTGCCAATGCGGAGCGTTTTGCTGCGGAAAGGGAAGCAGAAGGCGCCGCAAAGGCTGCTTCGTGCTCAGGACAAGCCATGCTCTGGCGGAAGTTTTGTTTTTTCTGTGTAATCATCACCATCATCATTCTACATTGCTGGAGTCAATGGCGACAAGGCTTCTAGCGATTTTTGTTAAGAAGCAGTCAGGAGAATCCATGTCCTGGCAGCAGGCTTGTGCATCTGCAGCTTACTGGCCTTACTGCAGCTGAGCAGCAGCACATCTTCCGAGCGCTGGCTGGCGGGTGTGCAAGATGTGGGTGCGACTCTAGATGCGCGCGCCGGCCAGGGGTCCATGGATTTGCAGCAGCGAGCAGCAAACAAGAAGCCTCCAAAGGCAAAGAGAAAAAAGCGGGCTTCCACTGTTGCACCGGCGACCACCGTCGAAGAGACGACTCCCGTACCTTCCCCTTGGAGCCTTGAAGCTTTGTGTTTTGCACTTATTGTCACCAGTGCATTTGATGTGAACTCAACTTCTAGCTCCTGCATAACGCTCTTGAAATGTGGCAAGGGTTCGAATCGCCACTCAGGAGGCAGTTGCCCATAGATTGGCAGAAGACGGAGCTGGGTCCTGGGTTTCCGAATGAGATTGATTCTGCCTGGACAGATGTTGGCGTAATGGAGTCTGGAGATGTGCTGCGAATAGAGGCCAACAGCAATGACCAACGGAGGTAGTAACTGCTTCTAAGCCTACGAACACCAGCGATTATACTAGGCGCCGTGGAAACTGTGTAGTCTACAACACAGCCAGAGTGGATTAGGAAGAAGCACGGCTTGTGACAGAAGCATCATCTGAAGAAGTTTTGTATGCGCACAGAGTGGGCATTTCTGTGTTGCAGCACGATGTCGGGGAAGGGCCGTATGGCTGTAGTTTTTTCTTTGTGTGAACGAAGGGATGTCCCGCAAACGCAGGCCCATGGCTTCAGCTCCAAGGAAAGCCCTATTGCTGTTTCTGGATGGTGGTTGGAAAGTGATGTCTAGATAGCGTTTTGCAAGTGGGATGCTTTGTATGCTTTGGCTGTGTCCCCACTGTTCATGACTTTGGGGTCTAGGTTGCGTTCGGGGTGTTTGGTCTTTGGAGGTGATTCCAATAAAAAAGAAAAGATTCCCTTCTTTCTGAACAGAGGTCTGGGGATGGTATTTGAATGTCTGGAGTGGAGATGGCCGGCATTGGGTCACCAAGAAGGGCGAGGAGGAACCCTCTCGCTTGCTGCATTTTAACCCTCGGCCGCGAGGTCCTGGTTTAGGGTCGTTTGAGGCTTAGGGGCTTATGGGGTTAAGGGTTTGGGGGCACGGCGGGGTCTGGGCTTTGGCGGGTTTTGTTGTTGCAGTGGCAGTAGCGGCAGTTGTCTCGTGGGGGTTGTACGGGAAGTCGCGCAGGAATATTTGAGATCGAGCGTCGAGCAACAGTAAAATGCCCGGAGGCGGTGGATATATTGCAATCAACAACTTCCTGAAGGGTACTGGCTGGGGTAAGGAGAAGGACGTTCCTGTTCCTGAGCAGTGGAAGATGGAGAACGCTGGCAAAGCATTCGCCGTCTGGCTTGAAGATGGAGTGCGTATGATGCATGAAAGCTATTCAAGCATTTGCACGCGGGGCTCTGAAATCCGGGATCCTTTTTCTTGAATGTTTTCTCACTGACACAGCAGAGGATCTATATCTCAAGTGCTCTTCTATAGAGGACCGTGTGCTCCAACAGTTTCAGGTGATTTTCAGCGTGTTTCCTCGAATTAGGACCCTCTTGCACATCCGGAGCCCCAGGTCACGTAGCTTCTTTTATGTAAGGCCCTCACCAGCGCAGAATGTTGAGATACGTATTCTGCGGCACTGAGGTGTTGGAGGTGGAGCTCAGCGATGAGGAATGGCTGGTGAAGCTCGATGGCAAGCCACAACCTGAGATGTCATACGTGCGCCAGGGCGACTACGGTGTCTAGGCTGACACCCTGGAGATTATTACTTCTGGTGAACTTTTTGTGGTGTTTGGTTCATGTGATATGAGTGACCAAAGCCAAATGCAATGGGCATTTTGCACGAATGCTGGGGAACTTAGGTGGACCTTTGGTCTTGCAGCTCTACGACCTCATCAAGCCCAGCGTTTCGATGAAGAAACAGATCTCCTGATCCATGCAGCAAAGCAGGATGGCAGTATCTTCAACGAGGATCTCTGTGTTAGAGATGCAGGAATGTATGACGACGACGATGGTGATGATGATGCTGTTGATGATGATGATGATGATGATGATATAGAGGGCCCTCTCGGTTCGGGCGTTTAGAGATCGGAGTGCATTGAGAGCAGATCATACGACTGCCAGCCTGTTTCATCCTCCCCCTGCAAATCGTGCTTGTCTTGCGCTCAAGATCCTGCGCAGAACATGTGCGGAGGGCAACAGAGTGTTAGGGTTCCAGGGTGGCCAGGGTGGGGGGTTGGGGGATTCCTTGCAACGGGTTGGCAATCTCAAGTCAAGCTACGGACCGGTCTTGGCCCAACCGGTGTTGACCCCAACGGATTGGAGCTTGGACGTTGATGTGCCTGTATACTGAAAACTGCCAATGAAAATCAAGTTGTACTCGACAAGCGCAAAAAGAACATGCTTTCAAATCTAAGACACACTTACACTCAGAGCTCCACACATTTTTGGCGGTCCAGCTCTTTTGATGTAGCAGCAGCATCCCAAACAGTGTTGCGCCTCCAGCCTTCTAGCACACACCCTCTCATTCCGACGCAACTACATACTCCAATCCAGCCTTCCTCGCCCCAAGCGTCGCAAACCCTCAGCAAGAACTGAGCTCTGTAGTCCAGATTCAATCCGAAGCCTACCATCCCTAAACCCTCAACTCTACGCCTCAAACCTCAAGCCGCCGACCCCCAAACGGAAGCATCCGTACTCCAATCCCCCCAGCTGTTGCGGCAGAGCCGAGTTACCCTTCAACTAGATTCCGAGCCCTTTCATTCAAACTTGGAAGCGTTTAAGTTTAGGGTTTAGGCCATCCTTAGTCGACAGCTTTTCGGCTCAGGTCACAACTCTCGATGCCCTGAAGAATCGCTCCATCCCGCCCAGTGAGGTCCGGTCTCCAGTAGACCTAGATTGAGGGCTTATGGTTGCAGAGTTTATGATTCTTTCAAGTATTGGGTCTTATGTAGGCTTCAGGGTTTTGCAATATGGGTTCAGGGTTATATGGGTTGGTCTGTGTTCCTGGACTTGAGCACTCACAAGCTGCGAACCCACTTCCAACGAAAAGCGTAGGGCAACAGTGTTTCAAGGTATGTTGCAGATAGGATCTATGATCTTTGAAGGGGCCATGGATAGGTTCAGGCCCGTTCTCGGAGCTGAGGGAGTTTGGAACTTTGGTTTGCACCCGAGGGCCTCGGCCGTGCCACACATGGTGCACATTTTCAGCTGACAGATTTTGCAGAAAATGCCCCGTGTTCCAGGCCAAAAACGGTCATTTCGTGGAAGTGCTCGGCACGCCGCAGTTTCCCGTGGTTTGATATTCCAGGCATCACCCTTGAATCCCTCTTTGCCATTCGACAGCTTGAATCTCCACCTGCCGTGTCAGGAGAGCTGGAATGGGTCGTAGCCAGTGATATAGATATATTGGGTCTTGCATAAACGCAGGTGTACATATCCATTCCTGCATTCCCTTCTGCGCTCATCCTCAACCATCCCTTAACCCTGCATCCGCGAGCCTAATCCCTGAACCCCTGTCGAGGAAGTCCGAAACCTGAGCACCGCGTAGTCAATCTAGCTTCCTTCTGGCAGGTGACTGGCGTCTATGGCCGCCTCGGCCTTTGCTGCCACAATATGACTGTTTCGCTAGATTTGGTGATTCCTGCAACAAATGCTGTGCCTTATTGGGAGTATGAAGCAGCCGAACAGCCGAAGCAGCCGGACTCTAATTTTAAGAGACTCCCATATACGAAGTGGTCACATCCGATGCGTTGCCTTCGGTCCCAAATGCCAGCGTGGCATTCATGCATTATGTGACACAACTTTGAGGCTGAAGATGTTCTGCTGCCAGGTATGGCGAGATCCTCGTAGTACACCTAGTTGCTTGTATCATCTGCGTGCCATGCTGATACGAGACTGAACATCTTCACCAAGAATGCTTCCAGAGTGCAAGATCACCCATGCTTGATGGCCAACCATGAAATTTGAACTGGATTTTTCACCTCCTCGATTGCCTTACTAGTCAGCTCCTTTAAGCATCACAGGGGCTTCAGAATTTGCAAAGGCTGCCACTCATGTGCAATGGAAGTTCTCCGTCACTGTGGGCTGCTGGAACCCCCCCTTTCAACAGCTTAATTGTCCACCCTTGCCCTTGCTTGCACTTTGGGGGGGATGGGTGGGGATTCTTGGTTGCACCCCCGCTGGGCCGCTCATCGCTGCCTGTCAGTTTCGAAAGTAGCGAATACCCTTTCATGCGGTATTTACATTCAGGACTAAGCAAAATTAGTTAAAGATTTCCATTACTGGCAGTAGTGGTTTACTCAAAATCAAGGTCCGATTCTGTAGTCCATCTGTATTCAGGATATTCTCGTACCGTCGCCACACGCAGACCCCAGCTTCTTTTTGGCAGTGAATGTCATCGCAGGCTATGCATGCGACTAGTCATTGATGATGACTTCCATGCTCAAGTGCCCTTCTTCAGCTGTCCTCCTTCTGTCTGGTATGCTTCAGGCTTGGTAGCTATTGTGAGAAGAACTGGCTGCCGTCAGAGTCGTGAAGCTGAGTTTGCGCAGGCTGTACGGCTATCCTCTCTGTGCGCCCGTGCGCTTTGTTTCGGAGTTGCTCTCTGGCCGAGTGTTTCTGCATACCGGTGATCGATTGGAATATTTCGCCAGGCTGAACTCACACGTTGACATACACCTTCTGTTGCTGTCTCTGTCAAAAGAAGTGCAGCAGAATCGCCGGCTAGTGCTGACAAGAACGGCAAGATGCTGAA